TGTAGGAAATTGGGGTGTAGTGGAGAAGCATAAATCAGAAAGGAATGAATGAAGAAAATCAAGGTGGGGCCAGTGATAAGGTAACTGTAAAACAAACGCTCCCCCACCCCCTGTTCTTTCCAGGAAATATGACTCTTCCACTTGTCATGGATGCCTCTCTCCACTCCCCTTTTTTCTTTAGCTGGTTGTCAAAAACATGTGAATGTTTCGTAAATAAAGCATGCTGACGAGCTTGGAATAACCTTTAATAATCTTACAATTAGAATGCTCAAAAAGAATTTCAAACTTTCCACTGAGGGTCAGTGCAGAGGGAAAAAAGCAAAGTGTGTGAGAATTTCAGACAGGGATAAAAGAAAGACTTTCCTATGCGGAGTCAGTTGAAAAAAGAAACCTGATTTGAGAAGCGAAAATAGGGGGAGGAATCGCTAAAAATAGAAACTTGTTTTAAATGCTTGGGAGAGAGCTTTTTATTATTTGTTTTTTCATTGCTCATATTTCTGTCTGATTTCCATCATCTTCCTCAGCTTATTATTATTAAGTTTTTTTATCGTTTTATCTTCAGTTCTGATGCGTTGTTGTTTTATTCATATTCTTCTTTCGTTAATATTTTTGTTTCTTCTTTCGTTAATATTTTTGTTTCGTTTATACTATTTTCGTTTTGTTTTAACCTTACTTGTATTTAAGTTATCCATTTCAAATGCCACCCATTAAGAGGAAAAATTATACCGCTGCGTTTAAGCTGTCAGCAATTAAAAGAGAAAAAGAAACTGTGATAAATGGCTTCAAAAAAGCGGAAATCATCCCGGGACAAACGGAACCGAAAGTGACGGAGATTAACCCGAAATAAACAATTAAATAGTAAACCTAATTTGGTCTGATACAGAGAGTTCTGAATTTGAGGAATTTTTAAGTTCAGTGATATGAATATATAGTGATACGTGATATCTAAATAAATTATTCTTAAGTTTTTCTTTGAACAAAATTTGTTTGGATTTATCGTTTGTTTCTAAAACAGGATTTTGGATTGTTAATTTAAAAGTAAAATAATTTTATTTTAAAAAATTTCTTACTTATTTTAATGGTTTATGATATATTAATTATTTTATTTATATTTTAATGGTTACTTCACAATTTTACTTAGAAATTCTACAATTTTACTATTAATACAATTTTACTTAGAAAATTATTAAAATCTATTTTATATACTAGGATTGTTTCTATTTTTTTAAATATTTAATATCCTTTTATTTATTTTTATTTAACTATTTAAATTATATACAAATGCATATTTAGAGCATGTGTTATGTCTTTAATCAATACCTGCGTTAAGTTCAAAATTCTTTAATTGTTAAAAATTCGGTGCGGCGTGTACGATGGTGCGGCGTGTCCGGTGAAAAGCTTTTTTCTGTCAGTCGATTTTTGAGGGAGCGGCGTACATACCAGGGCGGCGTTTCTCATCGAAATTATGGTATATATTTATATTGTACCACATGTATCTAAATATATTGGACATACATGAATTGTACATAAGGGCATATAGATTTGTCCAATGAATGTATATCTAAATATAATTACAATACAGTGTATATAATTTATGCAAGATATCTACATTTCAAAACATTAATTATTACGACCTCTAATAACTCAATCAATTAAAATGACTAAATCAAACGATATTTAAAATCAATTGTCAGTTTAATTTTTCTATATCATTTTAAAAATATTTAAATAAAATACTCGTTTCAAGTATTTTCATAAAATTTTTGAGGAAATTTACTTTTATATATCATAATGCACAGTTCAGAGAAATGTTTACATGACAAAAAAGATATTTAATTTAAAATCATATTTAGGAATTTAAAATTAGATTATAGTTTGCTTTCAAAAACAATATGAAATTGAGTTTTATAGATATTAGAACAAAATTTTAAATTGAACTTAAGTAACTAAACTGTTGTAAACTACTTTTCAGCACAACTAAGTATAAGAGCTTAAGTATAACAATTATGGTACGCTGGAGTAAGTTAAAATATCATAAAATAAATATTCATACTTGTTTTATTTTATGGTTAAATTCCCTGTATAAGATATTTAAGATCAAGCGATATTTTACATCTCGGTCCGTGAAAAGACATAGCATTAATGGGCGAAGACATACACATAATGTATGTACATACATTATTTGTACTATCGTACATGAATACACTGTATATACATATGTATAATGCAAGTATACATACTTGCAAGTATAATGCAAGTAATACATATGTATCATATAAACAGTTTTGTATATACAAACAGACACTCATACATTGCATACCCATGTTTTGATTATGGACATAGATACGTGCATACATACATATGAGCATACAATACACATACAAACCATATATGTCTCTACATGGATTTTATATGCATAAATATGTTCATATATCTTATGAATAAAAAAGTTATTATGTGCACAACCAATGCTCGTACATACCTACATTTATACTATGAATGTACTTGCGTGTATATGTACCTACATATATATATTGTCTCTACATGCGTACATGCAAAGTTACATGTTTAAATGCATATTATATGCAAAATTACATACATACAGTGTATGAATAAATAACGTTTGTACATACATACATACATTGTATTAAATCTGAACATTCATATTTACATCTTATATGCATACTTACCTACATACACATACATGCATACGTACAAATATTGAATAAGTTTAAAATATATCTGTGCTTGAGCGATTGTATGTATGCTAAATATACATATGTATGTCTACATACATACTAACTTACATGCATTGCTCGGACATTTATAAATTGTATTTACATACGTGCATTCATTCTACATACAGACAAATATGCTAACACATACAACATACATACCAACTGAATAAGCATATAGATTATAAGCATGTAGATATGCGATTGTAATTACTTGTAATAGTATCTTTTAATTAAATATACTTGCAATCACAATTGCATGTAATCATGATTGCATGAAATCATATATTTTGATTACTCAATCCTAATAATTCGCAATCGTTTATTTTAATTACAAGTAATCACAATATAATTTAATTCCTGTATTTATGTACGTATTTTCCTATGTAATTTTATGTTTAAAAGTTTTCACTTAATAAACTAAACAATTCATTTACATATATAATTTATGCATTGTTTTAAAAGTATTCAATTACCTGCAATCCCTATTACAATGTAATCAAGCCCACTTGAAATTATGATTAGATCTAATCATGTTGCAATCATACATATCACAATTACTGGAATTTAAGATTACCTGTAATTGTTAGATTATGATAACTTGTAGTTATGATTTCTGGTAATCTTACTTTATGATTACAAGTAGTCACCAGGGCTTGATTATTTGTAATTCTGATGATTATCTGAAATCATTTTTTGTTGTGATTATAACAGCTTGTAATGAGAAATAATAATTATTTGTTACTGTGATTACTTGTAATCAAGAAGTTAATTACAAGTTGCAAGAAGTTAATTACTAAGCAATCATTATTTATAACTAATTACATTTGTATTCTATTACTGAAATTGAGTGCAACTACTTGAGTGAAAATAACTTGAGTGAAAATAACATAATGCTTGCATTTTTCACTGGTTATTAAAGATTTTTTTGAGAAAAAATTAGTCATGACTAATGAATTTATTCATCAATAAGTATTCAAAATTTTGTATCATGAATGATGAATAATGACAAAATTTGTAGATGAATGATTGTTCAGAATAAATTTATACAGACTAAATTTGTTTTTAAATAAAATTGTTAGTTTTTGACATCATCCACATTTGAAACAACTTTTATAGAAATTTAGGGGAAGATTTCTAGGTGCAAGTAAAAAAATAATAATAACTGAGAACAGACAATGTTAATCCTATCAATAGTAAGAGTGCGTCTTAAAGTAGATTAAAAGTTAGTGTAAAAATAAGTAAAGAAAAAGTACTGAAAAGTAAAACCGGGTGCATTGCCAAATCTGTCAACAAAAAATAAGCACCTTTTAAGTACTTTTTAAGAATTCAAAAAATATTTTTAAGCACTATATACATTAACAAATTGCAAAATAATTTTCCAAGACTCTACACGATCAATAACTAGTTTCTGACAAAGATTCGGCCATTAAAAAATGATCAAAAGATTTTTCGGCTTTTTCAGAGGTGAGAAAAAGAAGTTTGAAATTGAGAATATCTTGCAAAAGGCAGCAGAGTTGCACATGAGAGTGCAATAATCNAAATAACTAGTTTCAGACAAAGAACTTTTTTCTTGATTATATTAGCCATTAAAAAATTATCAAAAGATTTTTCGGCTTTTTCAGAGGTGAGAAAAAGAAGTTTGAAATTGAGAATATCTTGCAAAAGGCAGCAGAGTTGCACATGAGAGTGCAATAATCTCATCAAACACAGCCCAGCACGGCTGTAAAATTATTGGCACTTTCATACACTATGGAGTGATGGTACGCCAAAATAGATTGTGGTTGAATGAAATGAGAAGACGTTAAATAGAACAATGTGAAAAGCACGCTTTTGTATAATACGTAACGAAAATTGACATGGTAAAGAAGAAAAAACTCATTTTTGAAAAGAGAATATTAAGCACTTTTTAAAAACACCTCATGAAAAAAAACACCTTTAAGGGTTTCTAAAAAAACGAAAATCGAAATAAGTACATCTAAGCACTATTTATAAATGCTATGCACCATGAGAATTTAGAGGAAGATTGCTAGATGCAAGAACACAAAAAAAAAAGAAGAAACAGAACAGACAATGTTAAGCTTATTAATAAATAGTAAGAGGTCTTAAAGTAGTTTAAAAGAAAGAATAAGTAAAGAAAAGGTACTAAAAAGTAAAATAAGCAGACAAAACAATGAAGCTTAGTTTTACAATTAAAATACAAATGTGATAAAAGCAGCTTTTATTAAAACAGAATTCCTGGGATAATAATTAAGGAAAATTAACCTCAGAATTCGATCCAGCACTAGATGTTGAAGGCTGATTGATTGAAGAATTCTGGGTGGATGCTTCACTCTTCTCTGCAACAGATATTGGGTAAGACTTTCTGTACACCTGAAATAAGAAGAGTTTTTATCTAATTTGTCTTAAAATCTAACATGGCCATACTGAAGAGGGATGAAAAATTTATTAACTTGATTATAAATTTGTTAAGTTTATTAAATAGGAATCAAATCTCACTCAAATCTGGAAAAAAATTCCCTGTACACAGAGCCGGATTATACCTTTCGTAGGCCCTAGGCATAGCCGTTTATGGGCCCTCCCCCCTCCCCTCTTTTCAAAATATATGCTAAAATTTTCTTGCATATTTTTTTTACATTTTTATTAATATGGATTTTAATTTACAAATTTGTTTATCGAACTTTATCTGCAATACCGACATACTGCCGATATTGCAGTTGATATCGATAATACCATTATGATTAGTTCGATTGATAACTATGTAAGCACTTCACGTCAACAATACAACAACAAAACAGCAAAGAAAACAGTGAAATTGATAGTGAGATTAATTACAAGAAATATTTATACTACAAATAGCTTCATAGTTCTTATGATACTACTATGATAANACATATACACCCATATATTCATTAGTTTTAATTGCTGGAAAAACAGCTGAACATACTTAAATAATGCTACAGTAACTGAAATAGTTTAGTATAGCTGAATTATCATGGTTAAATATCCCACAGATTACGCTTTGAGTGGTCACCATTTTTGAAAGACAAAAATAAGAAACAAAATTCCCTGTATTTTCCCAGTTTGTAGAGAAAAAATCAAAATTTCCTGCATTTTTCCTGTTATTTTAGGTGATTTTAAAATTCCCTGTGTTTTCCAGCTTTTCCCTGTGGAGTGGCAACCCCGTGAAAGCTTTAAGAACCCAATTTTTAAGAAAGCCGCTATAATTACAAATTCATATTTAAAAAATTAATAATTTTGCATTTAATAAAATGCAGCAGCACAGTTTTTGAGATATGACTGAGGATTAGTAAAGTTAAAATTATATTTTGAAAAGTGAATTAGTTTAAAATTATATAAAACAGCTACTGGTTAAGTCACGGGAAAAAGTATTGTGTGAGTACTCCTATTCTACATTAATGCTGACATCAGCAATGCAAATTGAAGGAAATGGAGGCCATTCACGAGTCTCAAAAGAAACCTTGTGAAAAATTTAAATTTAGACATTGCTACGTAGTATAATATTCATTTGTAAAAGTTATTTTTTAATTATTCCTGTGAGTAAATTATTTGAAAACTTAAGGGTCAAAAATAATAGATAGCTTTAAAGAATTAAGAATTCATAATTAGAGTCGGTAGTTTCATTTCATTATTGTTTTGGTCAGAAAATTTTTGGAAGAAATTAATAATATTTCGGCTACTTTTGTTGCAAATTAAATAGGTATTACAATAAACAGTGTTTTCACTACAGAGCGAGAATCTCGCATATTTTTTTTATTTTCTTGCACTCTATTAATCAATTTCAAAATGCAAGAATTTTGGAAAAAATTTAGTCTTTGGCCATTTTGAATAAAATCCGTTTCACTTTTCTTCCTTGATCTTTCATTATTTTGAACACCGGTCCTTGTTATCTAGCTTCCCTATTTACCAGTATTGTTCAGAACCGGTGCGAACAGCAGAACACCCCCCCTCCCCCGAATCAAGGAACCCCTTTCAGAACACATTTCTCTGCAACCACGGGTTCACCGTAAGCACGGTTTCTTCATGTAAGACGTTTAAATTTTTTGTGCATGAATGTAAGATGGACAAATACCTTGTTAAGGCGACATCTTCTACTCCGTAACGGACAAATGAAAATGAAACAAATGTTGGTAGAAACGGTCAAACTAAACAAATACGGATATTTTTCAGCCAAATAAATATAATAGATGATGAAAAAGTAGATATAGAACATTTTCCATATATATAGTAGATATAGAACATTTTCCATATATATAGTAGATATAGAACATTTTCCATATGATGATGCAGCAAAAATATTTAATTAGATGATGTTAAAAATGTATTATAATTAAAGAAATATTTTTTTTCCAAGTCTATTCGTGTTTTTTTAATTTTTAGAAATCTCACTTAAATGTTTTAAATCTCACCCTGTTATGAGAAAGGGTGAGAAATTCTATCCCATTTTTTTTCTGTAATGAAAACACTGAATAAAGGTAGCTAAAAAATTATTCAAGATCAAGAATATAAAAAAATTATATCTGCGAGCTAACTATTATTCAAATTCAATTACTTGAGGTACTATTTTCAATTATTTGAGGTTGATTAAAAAATACAATTAGATTAAAGATGGTAGATTTTACGAAATAATATAAATTTCATGATAATTGTTACAAAATATACTAAATATTTTACACATAGGGAATTTTAGGAATTCTTATAGACATCAAAATAGAAAAAACTGCCATATTTTCCAGTTATGATTTCACATTAAATGATCTGGAAATGTTATGTATAATGTTTCTTCATAATTTTGAATAGTAATAGGTATTTAAATCATCAAATATAGTTAACTGAATTTTATAAATGAGACTCGCTTTCTCATGTATTAGTAACATCTATTTAAATATTCACCACAAAAGTTTGATTGGACTATACTACAGAGACTTAAGTGAAAAATGAGAAAGAAACCATTGCGATATTTGAAAGAAGCATTTTCTGTAGGAATGAAATGTGGTGAAAATTAATGGAGAACAATCATAGAACTTTATAGATTATTTAAAGATCCTAACATTATAAAGTATATTGCTACTTAAAGTCTTGTCATTATATTGGCCCAAGCCATTCAGATATTTTCGTATTTATGAATTTCTAATTAATTATAATACAACTTGAAGATCATGATTACATTAATGCATTTTTAAAGTCAATCTATATTACATAAAACGCTAATACGTACGTATGTATGTATCCATAAAACCGATGATATTTTTTTTTTCGCGCTGGCAACAGTTTTCATTTTTAATTGATTGGATTCGGCGCGCAAGAGCACGTAGTGAGCAACCAGATAACAATAACCAGAGTGAGCATTATCAGGTTGTTCAATTCAGATTCATGCACTAAAAACATGACAATATTTAATTTAAACTCAATTAGGAATTAATTAATTAATTGAAGTGAGAATGCTTTAAAAGGCCGCTGTTGAATTGATATTTTTCTACTGGGAGCTACCTAAACGTCTAAAAAACGTTTAAGTGTTTGTATTGAATGCATTGAATTTTTTTATATTTCGCGTTTATTTATGCATTGAATTTTCACGCTTTAAAATGCAGAATATTAGTGAAGCAATATTTGATAATTTATTTTGCTAATATGTTTCTTATTTAGCTAATGTTTTGATTTTTTCACCATGTACAATCTAAATAGCTAATATACTTTTTTAAAAGCCAATAAGAACATTGGTAGAATTCTTCTACATAAGTACAATACTATGTCTTTGATGATAAAATACTATGTCTTTGATGATAATATATTATGTCTTTGTGCTAGAACATTGTGTTCATTGGCGAGCGAGCGCAGCGAGCCATGCCGTGAACCACATAGGATTGCGTAGCAATTCTCCGGGGTTGGCGAGCGTTAGTGAGCAGGGGGCGAAGCCTCCTAGTTATAAATATATTAGTTAAATACAATTCAGTTTTATTGCATTTACTGTAATTTTTTAATCAATCTACATTATTATTGAATCAGAAATCTCTGCATAGATATTCTATGATTTTTAATTAAGTACCCCCAAAGAAGTACAAGTAAAAAGAACATTGCTTAGTAAAAAAAAAATTTCACCTCAAACACTTTTTCAAGTTTAGAACAGAACTCTGTCGGCAAGAGGCTTCCTGTAATTATTTCAATAGGAGCTCCATTTCCACCAATAAAGAATGAAGAGGGTATCACTAAAACAGGATCTAGCAACAGTTAAACCTTGTAATAACCTTTTATTGAATATACTGAAGGAAACATAATAAACATCGATATGTGATACTTGATAAGCAAAAGTTTAGATAAGCACTGCAACAAAAATCTAAATTGAAGCAGTCATTCCCCAATGACAAATTGTAGCTATTTCTTGTTGGTAGGATTAACAATAAATGGCATTTTCTGGGCATATACACAGATTTGAAGCATCTACATTAAAATTTTAAATAAAAGAAGAATGACATTAATAGTTCTTTTTTATTAAAGAATAAGTTTTATAGCTGATTCACAAATGATACTTAACATATCATATGACTAAACTAGAGATGAAGAATTTGCGATCTAGAATATAATAAAAAATTATTATAATTTTTAAAAAAATATTTAATCACTTTTTATTTTTTGATGAGCTTTTTTTGTGATGATTTTATCATTAATTTGAAGGGGCTTTTTTTCTGGATCATTTCTTCAGTGTTATATTTGTATTATTTTTTTGGCAGTTATTGCTATGCATTTCTACATGGTTTTGAAAAATCTTGATATTTTTAGCATATAATTACGACAAGCCAATTGCGCATTTATAGGCATGCTTTATTTGTATCTGATTTCAACTCAAATAAAAAGAATTGTTCTTCGTTTTTTTCCTCCAGATATTGCTATGCTTTTGATTGTAGTTTTAAAAATTTCGGTATTATGCTTTTGATTGTAGTTTTAAAAATTTCGGTATTTCTAACGCAATATATAACTCACGAGTTTCAAATCAATCACCCTGTTAAATCCTGAGACCATTTTCTTAAGCATGCATTTTGAAATATAGTCAGAATAAAAAGCTCAACGATGATCAGCAACTACGTGAGCATTACATTTTATGTATACTCAGGGGTCTGTCCAGACATTTTGTGAAATTGTGAAAATATTAGTCGTAATTTGTTCCTGCTTTTATTAATTTGTGCAAATAGGGTAAGGTTATTGAAAAAAACTTATTCAAGGAGTTTTTAAATGGTAAAGAGATACAAGATTATGCTCAATACTGTAAAATTACAATTAAAAAAAATGAAATTTTTAAAAATAAACAGCAACTGCTGCTACTAAATTAGAGACACAACATACAAATATTTGGTATTTAGCCTATACTGCTGAATGCAGAATATTCATTTCGGGCGAATAATGGAAGAATCGTCTGCCGAAGACAAAACTTAATTCGTTTACATCCATCTTTCTTGTTTTTTCCCCTGGGAAGGGTTTATTCGATTAACAAAACAATAATGAAGATAAACAAATTTGTGAAGAGTCTGATTGAAAGAAAAATCATTTTGTGAAGGGTCCGTTTTTATGAAAAGATATTTTGTGAAGTTAAACCATAGACTGCATTTGCTATTACATTTTCCAATGTACACCAAAATTAATAAAATTGTTAGATCTTATCACAAGTGCATATATTAAAGGTATGCACTTTTATTTAAAAGCATTTATGCTAATCTAATCCAGAGTAAGTAAGATTAATGATATTATTTATATAAAAGTCATAAAGATCTTATGCTCCTTATATTCAAAATGAATGACAAATTATTTCAGTGCATTAATCACATTAAAAAGAAGTGATAAATATAGTGTCATTAATTTGAATTTGTTTTGCTATACATTTCTTGACTGTGATTAAAAAAAGGTTCAATTATGTTACATATTTATTTTAAAAGTAGAAGAAATATAGAGAAAATAATTATCAGAAAAGGATACATATTTGACAGAACTGCATGTATGGAACACTAAGAGAAAATTAAGTTACACAAGAATTATTACATCATACATCATAAATTTTTTTACAACATTCAATGATGGTTTATAATGTTATTCATTTGGACATTTCATTTTATAAAAATTGATATCTAAACATTAATTTAATTTGAAAAGAAAATTCATTAACATTCAAACACAGAAAAAATAGGAATGTATAGGAAAAATATATTCAGTTATATAAAACATATATATATATATATATAAAAATTTATTCTTTATATATGTATTCATTTATTTTATCTATTTTTAAAAAAATTTTGGCACAAAAGAGACATTTTTCGAGAAATTATGCAAAAAGGCCCTCTGTACTCCAAATTCAGTTTTCAGTTTTGTATGAATAAGACCAAAATTTGAAATTGTTCTTTCGATTGATGCTCAGCTGTATAAATTAGAATATTGAACTATTATAACATAATAAAATAACCAATAATTAAGAAATTTATACTAATAACTGTACTAAATATTGATGGTAACTTAATTAAACCCTTGAATTGATTGATTTAAAAAATTCTTAAAACAAACATTTATATTTATTATAAATTATAATTATTTTACATATCAGGGAATATGTTATAGTCATGATTTAATGGAAATATTTGTGTGCATTGAAGCAAGAGTGCAGAAAATTCTCAGTCCCTAATATTTCAGCAGTTTTTTTATTTATTATTTGATCAAAATTTCTCCACAAATTTTAACATTTTTCTTTCTTTTAGTACTAAAATTTTTAAAATATTTTTAGAAACTTAAGTTCATATAAGAAAATTAATGTGTTTGATTTTACACAGTTCTCGAATAAACCAGCATATGTTTAAAATACAGTCAAAAATTACTATAGTGAACGTTCAAGAGATTGAAATTTAGGTTCACTTCACACTATTCGTTCCGCAAACAATATTTACCTAATGGTTCCAAACTCCCCCTTTTATTAAATATTATTTAAATAAATGTGCAATAAAATGAAATACAAAAATAACTGAAAAATAATAGGTCGTAACAAAAAAATTAGTAATCTTTATCTGATGAGCAATCCTCAACATCAGATTTGGAAACATTCTCCGATAATTTTTCCTAAAATTATGTTATTCCCCTTTTTAAACCTGTCTAATCAGCCATTAAAGCGCATAAAAGTAGTCTCACCCAATTGCTTAACAAATTAATCGGTTTTGACTAGAAGCCTTGGTTCAGATACTGGAAGATTGCAACTTCTTTAAATGCTGAACCTATTCAGTAATGCTATAAATGGTTTTAAAAATCGGTATTTATTTTGAAGTAGAAATTTCAAAATTATTACATAAAAAATGAAGAAAATAAATCAGTCGAAAACAAAACAAACTTCCTCTTTTTTTTTTGGTTCGGGAGAGAATGTTTCGTTCACTATTTAATGAAATAAATATGATGCAACAGTAATAATTTATTAAATTAAAGGGCTTCACTCATAAATTTAAGAAACTCAAACTAATTAATAAACAAATTAACATTTAATGTTTTTTTAACAAGGAAAAATTTTGCAAAGCGACATGTTTTTTAACAATAAAAAATTTTTTAGGAATTATTTTAGACCAAAAGTTTTTCTTTGTCTGTCTAAATTTCAATCTAATCCTTCTTCATATGATTGGACATATTCTGCTAACCTACATATAAGTAACAATAACAAATATTAAGCACAAAAAAATTTATAAGTTGAAATCAGACAATTATTGGAGACCACTTTAGTTTTACTTTATCTAAAAAATTTGCTTTATTGTGGTATAAAACATTCAAAATCAATATTTAGATTGATAATAATTAACAACATATTATTTGTATTATATTAAGAGTACCATGTTTTTAGAAAAACCAATTAATAATTTTATCTATATTTTTTATAAATGATATATTAATATAAATTATAATTATAATAGTATATAATGCAAGCATTCTGCATGATTTAATGTCCAATAAAATGTCCCCAATGTTAATAAAGAAAATTGTCCCAGGTGTTTGACAGTTTTTATCAGATTTCGATAATTTTTATCACTTTTAGACACGTCTTTATATATGTGACAAGTCAAAAACCAGTTTTTGACATTAAAATACCAACTCTGTAATTAGGGAATGGGAACCAATAAATAGAATTTTCTTCTTCCTATCGTTGAAAGTTCTCCGTAAATACATTTAAAAAAAATGCAAAATAATTTTCAAGGATCATGAGAAAAATAGCCAGAAAGAACTATTTCCTTAATTATATAAATCACCATAAAAACAATCTAAGCAAAATTTTAAAGATATTCAATATTAAGTGGCTCATTCTATTTTTAAATTAATAGTTACTTCATGAATTATGTAAAAAATAATAATTCAAAGTTATAATCAAACTATTATTTAAAAAGGTTATAGAGCGTATTTATTAAATTTAAATAAAAGTTATTTATAAATGCATATTCAACAAAACATTAACTTAAAGCTAAAAAAACTAATAAATTCATATTACCAATGTAATTTAATGAATGGCCTCTAAAAATTTTAATTATTATTTGTTACTTCAGTATTTCTTTCAGTAGCTCCCAAAATAAAGATCAAGAATCACGCGAATAAGACTCTTCCACAAAAAAAAGACAGATACTCAAATAAGTATAAACAACATGGTACAAATATTTCAGTTAAAACACCACTTTTTGATATACTGTATTTTCAATAATTCTATTGTAAATCAACATAACTCTTCCAATCCTTTTTTCAAGCAGTAATTACAATCATTGTTTTTTGGACATTTCCACATATTTTTAATAGAATATTGCAGCCTTTTTCAAAACGCCCAAAATTTACTCAACAATGTTAAAAGGATTAATACCTGTTTGCTACAAGTTTCAAAGCAATAACATTTTCCGACATCAACTTTTCACATACGGAAGGATCATTAAAGGTGGCTGTCATTGTTTTAGACATATCATCATTACCTTTGAAATAAACAGTCAACATATTAGGTTTTTGCAATGATATATATTTCATGAATAACTCTATTAATTCCCCTTATTAACATAAATCTTGCATGTATTTATAATTTAAAAATGTCTACTAAACATTACAATTTTGAAAAGCATTGATGAAAGCATGTTATTGATGAAAAGCATTTCATCAATAATATAAGTAATTTTAAAAATTTCATTCTCAATTATTTTTAAAAAAAACGTGCTTTAAACAGGGATGGGAGTAGGCAGAAAGTAAAAAAGAGGAAACCCAAGAATTAATATATATATATATATATATATATACATACATACATACATAATATGTAGAAGCTATGATATCTAAAAATTTGAGGAAAAAAAAGTGTGATTTTTAAACTATGTGATTATAAATCTCGATTAATTTTAAAATTGTATAAATATAAATCACATGATTTTAAAATCGTGTGACTAAGATTTTAAATTGAGAGAATATGAATCCCGATATGTGGCTTCTAAATCTTGTGAACATGAAACTCAACATTGCATTTCGAAAATACAATAAAACATGATGCGTAATTTTTAGATCACGTAAATACAAATCACAATGCATAATTTTTTAATCGCATGAATAAAAATCGCACTGAATTTTCAGAAAAAGCGGAATATTTATATAAAAAAAGAAGCTAAAGGAGAATCAGAGTTTTTTATAAAAAGGCTGAAATTCGAGAGACAAAAGCGGAAATCCTCAAAAATATCTCATCCCTGTTTAAATAAAAATTGTGAAGAAGAATTAATTACTGACTCAAGGGAACTTCATAAAGAAAAAAAATAAAAGGAATTCCTCTCTTTTTTTCAGAGTACGTAATATGGTCTCTGTTAAACGGATCTGGTAGAGGGGAGAAAAGGGATCTTATAATTATTTCTGCCTAATTATTCACACTGACTTATAATCTGCATTTCTTTATGACCATAACATTTTTTAACATCTTACTTACCAATTGCTTTAAAGAAAAAAAATGAAAAAATCAACATATTTTTTTAATTTATTAATAAATACAGGGGACTAAAACAAAACATAATGTACAAGTTTTAAGTTGAAATTTGAATTTGTTTTATATGTAAGAAACATTTAATATAAAATCAGTTTACTATCCCAAGGTATCTTGGGCAAATGAAAAAAGTTAAATATTAGTCTTTGTACGATCAGGGATCTGTCCAGACATTTTGTGAAAGGTCCGTTTTTGTAAAATTGTGAAAAATTAGTCGTAATTTGTGAATATAAAATAACCGTTAAGTCAAATTCTTTCAACCAGGCTCTTGCTTTTGTGAATTTGTGCAAATAGGGTCCTATTATTGCAAAAAACTTTTTCAAGGAGTTTTTAAATGGAATTTAAAACATGAAATTTTTGAAATCATGAACAATTTAAAAAATGAAATTTTTACAAATAAACAGCAACTGCTGCTACTAAATTAGAGACACAACATACAAATATTTGGTATTTAGCCTATACTGCTGAAAGCAGAATATTAATTTCGGACGAATAATGGAAGAAGCGTCTGCCGAAGACAAAACTTAGTTCGTTTACATCTATCTTTCTTTCCCCCAACCCCCTGGGAAGGGCTTATTCGATTAACAAAACAATAATGAAGATAAACAAATTTGTGAGGGGTCCGATTAAAAGATAAATTATTTTGTGAAGGGTCCTTTTTTAAGTAAAAATATTTTGTGAAGGGGTCCGTTTTAATGAAAAGATATTTTGTGAAATTTCTTCTAAACAGACCCCTGAGGATAGTTCTTAAAACAAGGGACAACACAAAATGATACTTTTCAAACGTCAGTGAAGGGATACGCCATTTATTTATTTTTTACTCTTATTGCTATGTAAATGCAACAACCATCGTATATACGATGGATGGCATGTACGATCACACAAAACACATGTGCAGTCCCACATCGAAACTCCCAACTAAACCTTGACAAAATTCAAATCACAGCAGATTATGTTTTTTGCTTCCGACCAAGTAAAAACGTGATAAAACAAAATGCACTGACAAATTCTGCTAAGCCCGAGTTTTCTCGGGACGATAAATATTTGCAATAGATATGTAGTATATTAAATCGACTCAGGGTTACCAGAACTGTCACACTAAATAATTTAAATCAGTAATTTATTTTAAAAAATCATACAATTTACACCTCATACAAATGAGATTTAAATCAATCAACCTAGAAAATTACAGAATTAATTAAGACACAAGATGTGGGAAATAGATAATGACAAACCTTCAATATAAACCATAAATAATTTATTTTTCTTTTTAGCTTCAGAAACAGCTTCAGCAATTGATCCACTGTGCCACTGCATGTCAATACTAAAAACAAAAATAAACATGAATATTTTAATTTGTAAAATTACATATAACTTAAGTAGACCCTTAATTAATCAAACCTCTTTTATTTGAATATTTCTGCTAATAATGTTAATTTACACATGCTTTTTCTTTTACAAAAAAAAAAAAAAAAAAATTAACAAAACAAATAAGTAGATTAAAATGNAAAAAAAAAAAAAAAAAAATTAAGATTAAAATTTGGTTTCGTCTCATAAGAATATGAATGAGGTGGAAATCTACTTTTCAGGTGGGTACCCCGAAATAACATAAGGAAATAATGGCATTAAAAATCTTTACACATCCATGGTGTTATCCTTTAACAAACTAAAAATATAAAATTTTTGATCCCCCCCCCCCATGAATTCCTTGACTTTACAAATGCAATGTAGCAAATACTACATTTTAGATTTTCAAATTCATGACTTTTCATGATTATTTTTTTAAAAAAATAGTTAAAATCATGACATTTCATGACAAATTTTGTTCAAAACTGAAATTCATGACTTTCTAGGTGTGCAGATAACCTGCAAATATACTTTATGACAATATTTAAGAAGAGAAGGCTCTGAAGTTTCACTAATAGTTAAACTAAAATATTGACTAAGAAGGCATTAGACTCTGAAAGATATATTTAGATCAGGGGTCTGTCTGGGTTTTTTTGAAAGATACCTATTTTGTGAAAATAGGCAAAAGATACCTATTTTGTGAAAATATTCATAATTTGCGAAAATTAAAAATTATATTAAAAGATCAACACAAAAATATTGCAAAGTAAGAAAATAATTTCAAAAATTGTCACTTCAAATAAAAATCATTAATGACAGGTAAATTTCCGTATATTTTTCCCCATATAAAAAAGAAATTTTGCTATATCGTAAAATTGTGGGCTTAAAATTACATCCAATTTTAAAATTCCATAAAAATCATTGTCCTTAGTTAAATTTGAACTTCAGATTAGTAAAAACATGCATTTAACAGTAGTAGCACTGAAAGTTATTTTCATCATGAGAAAATTTTCGACAAGGTCATACAGAAAAAAGTTTAACAGAGAAAAAAAAAATGTTTCATAAAAAATAAAAGTCTGTTAGAATAAATTTACAAAATAGTGTAAAGATAATGTTCAAATGTTTATAATAATGTTTGAATTCAGACTTTCAGTTTTAAGTCACTCGTTGTATCTGACCAAACATTTTCGTAAAAGACATCTGGCAATAAAGCTCCGCCCAAAGTTGCAACGGGGTTTGCTTTATTAAAAGTATTTTGTGACCGTTTTTCCTAAAGTTGAATTTGTGACGGTTGTAAATATATTCCCATGAACAGACCCCTGTAGACAGATAATTAAACAGATGTCAGCAAAAGTTAAAACATCAAATGTGTTTTTAAAGAAAAAATAATATTTCCCAGGAAAAAGACAATAATAAACAGTGCATTGTTAAATATGATCACATCTAAAAAAGGCCCAAAATTTAAAGTTCTGCTAACAGTAAAACTAATATGCTAATTAAAAAGGCATTATAGAATTCAATTTTATATGTAAAAATGTTTTCACACTAAAAAGAAATGTCAATAAAATATAATAGCAAGCTCAGCAGATGCTGTTAATAGGAATCACATAAAGTTGCAAATATATACAGGGTATCTCTGCTACATTTTCAAATTCATGACTCATTCCAAGAACTTTTCATGACTTGACACTATTTTCTCCGACAAAAACAGAATAATAAATTTAAAAAGCATTATAATAACATGAATTAAAATGATAGGTATAACCAAAACTGTTATACTCTGCATCTTCATATTTAATGATTTTAAACTTAAAAAACAGAGTAAAGAAAAAGTTGAAGCAATAAAATAGCTGAAAAAAATAATAGCTGAGCGAAAAAAAAATAATTTCTGCAGAGTTATATTCTAAAGATACTTTTCTTGTTCATCAGAAAGGAAAGAAATACTCCTGATTTTTCTGTTTACATTTCGGAATTTAAAAAAAATTGCCAATGACTGGCTTGCTTCATCTAGAACTTTAAATTGATAAAATAAAAATTAATAAATAATAATAATAATTCTGAAATCACAGAAGTTTAAAATATACTTCGTTCTAGAAATGATGTTTTTTCTTTCATTTTTTGAAAGAATGCCATAATTTTTAAAGAACATGATAAAAACATTTTATATTTTAATAAAATATGACTCTGAGTGGGGATTTTTTTACAAATTCAGATATTCAGAACACCATGAAATGATTGGGGGGGGGGATTCCATTTTAAAAATAAAACTCTTCGGTGACCTAAATCCATGACTTTCCATGATTTTTGTTTTAAAAAAATAGTTAAAATCATGACATTTCATGACAAATATTGTTCGATACCGAAATTCATGACTTTCCAGGTGCGCCTAAAACCCTGTATAAACTGAATTTTGGTAAAGACAACTTTAATAAATGTAATGAAAATTTAAATGGTATGCTCAAACTGAAGGGGAAAAAATGAAGTTCAACTTATTATCATCATTAAGGGCAAATTTACTGCCCTTTAGCGGTACCTTCACAAATTCAGCTTTAGGAAAAACGGTAGTTACATAAAATGCTTTTAAAAAAGCAAGTTTTAAGATTCTCTTCCCCGCCTCTTAAAATTTTGTTTTTGTATCCCTGTAAGAAACGATAAATCCCTGGCTAATTCCCCAAATATGAATAGGTAGCATGTGCTTGGTCAGATAGTGTGGCCTAAATAGTCGCTTGCGCCATATTATAACAAGTTTTTTTTTTAAATTAAGCGACAAGGCGCTCCTTTTGTAAACTTCGCAATAAGTTGAAATTCGTTATTGAAAAACATCATTCTAAACATTCAACATTGTTGTTTATTCTAACAAACCTTTATTTTTGCATGAAAATTTTTTTTTATCTGTGAAACTTTCTTTTGTATAAGCCAGTGGTAAATGTTCTCATAATGAAAATAACTTTTATTGCAAGTACTGATAATGCATGCTTTTTTTTAAAATTCAAGTTGAAATTTAACAATGGACAATGATTCTTAAATTTGGATATAATTTTAAGCCTAAAATTTTACAATAGCAAAATTATTTTTGAATATATGGGGGAAAATATATAAAAATTTACTAGTCATAAATGATTTTAATTTGCACTGACAATTTTTGAAAATATCTTCGGGGAGATTTCCATATAGTGATCTGCGGCAGAATAATCGCCAAGATTTGGAACCTTCCGGATAGTGGCCCGCGAGAAACTAAAAAAAAACACAGAAAGGGACCAATTCGAAAAGTATAGTTAGATTACATGTTTGTTTGTTTTTTTAATTCGCATGTTTAAAATCTATTTGGCAACTTGGCGATTTCAGTTGGCGCCACAGAATCACCCTCTTCTTACTTTATCGGGGATATTACCTTATCATGATCTGTCTCGCCAAGATTCCAAATAGATTTTAAACTTACAATTTTTTTTTAAAAAATACATATAGCTGTTTGCCGTAGGGTGGCTACGAATTATACCTTTCAAGTTGGTCCCTTTCTGTGATGTTTTTTTAAGATTCTCGCGGGCCACTGTCCGGAAGTTTCCATGACTTGGCGGTTATTCTGCCATAGATCACGATACGGATATCTCCCCACTTTACCATATTATGGTGTTGATTTTTTAATATAATTTTCACAAATTATGTCACAATTTTCACAAAATAGGTACCTCCCATAAAAACGTACAGGTCCCTCAAGGTTATTAATTATGTAATTTTTGTTACGTTAACATATTATCAATTTTAGGGACAAAATATATAGATAATAACAGATATAAAATCTTATCCTATACCTTTACATTTAAAAACAAGTGCGCGGAAAAAACAATAAGAAATTATTAAAGGATTAGACTTATCTTAATTTATTATTAATTATGTGAATACAAGTGACGGGAAAAAAGTCAATCTTCAAATTTTTTCTTATTAAAATTATGAACAAATTTAGTCGAAAAATATTTTGAACAAGGAAATAACATAGATCCTCATAAGACAACAGCTAAATCTTAGAAAGTTTCGATTTTATAAACGATTGTGAAAATACAGATTTTACCATTCAAAGATTGCCAATATCAAGAAAAAGTAAATAGATCTTCTATAAAAGTAATCTAGAAATATTTTTGTGAATTAATCCAGTAACAATAAGCAACTGTTAACATTTCTAAACTGAAAAATTAATCTACGTGCGTCTTTATGAGAAACTCATCATCATTTCGAAAAGAAATTCATAACAGCGAGCTGAGATGTTTAACTCCTGTAAAATAGTTGCTGTTGGTGTTGTAGTTCATTTACGTCACACTAGAGTGACGGTCTGGGAAAGATTGGAAGGCTCCGAAGCTTGGAAGATCGAAGACATGCCATCACAATTTTGATCCTCTGCAGAGGGGATGGCACCTCCGCTTCGGTAGCCCGACGACCTGCACTCGAAGTCGAGCACTTTACGATAAAACAGTTTAACAAGGACCAAATTCGCGCACCCTTGGTCCCTACGCAGACTGATCCAAGTGGTCACCCATCCGCACACTGACCGCAGTCAGTGATGCTTGACTGACTGTTGCTGGCAAATTTAACTTCATCGCAAATTTAAATGATGTATTTCCACGATGTTTATAAAATTTCGATATTATTACGAATCGCTCATTTAGAAATCCAACTATGACGTGGTTTATTTGTGCCGATGTTGAAGCAAATCAAGTTATTTGTAGTCTCATGATTCAGAAATCCTATATCGCGATTCGTATTTACGCGCATTTTAAAAATCCCACGTTTTGATTCTTCTCGCAATGTGATTCGCTAAAAATCCCGTTTTGTATTCATCATTTTCATCTACATATAAAAAGAATTCACATTCTAATATCATGTGCAATATTTTCTCATTTTGAATGAGGAAAAAAAAACACATGAATTTATTTCAAGTGAAATGGACCAATGACCAATGTCGACATATGACAGATTTTCAGAAGAAAAATAATTATCGAACAGTGTCTTATAAAAAACAGCTGAAAAAAAATTATTTCAAAATTTTGAGATTAAAACTATGTTACTTTGAAATATGACTCAATGGATGGTGTTTTCAGATGATTGACTGAATGTAAACAATAAAAAGCTTTCTAAAACCAGATAAATTTCGAAAACTTCCGGCTTATACCACCGTGCTTATGTTATGCTTAATTTTTTTTAAATTTCCACCGTGCTTTTTTTAAAGAACTATGTTTAATGCAGTTTTTAGTTTCATATAGTCTCCTAACTTAAAAGATCTATTTGAAAATCAAGACAGAAACTGACGTACTTCCTTCTTCTGTGACTCTCCACACGCTAATAGTGAACGCCTGCAAAATGTTGTCATAGTTCTGCTGTACGCTAATTGTAGCCAACTCAGTATCCTTGTAATTTTTAACCAACCCAGAAGACAAGGAAACTCCTGGATCACTACCCCCGGAGGTATGATTTGTTATAAGAACACAGAAGACTTTGCGACCCGACAGACTTAACGTGCACCAGTCACCATTTACTAGACGGGGAGTCTTTGGCCGGTGGGGGTCACACACACAAATTCTTGGACATGGGCCCAGTGCCTACCAACCAATCTATTCCGGCCTATTCGATTTGAAAAATCTATTTAATTTAATTTAATAACCATCATTGAACAACCGACCCAATTGTTGGGTTTACGACTACTAATGTTCAACTCCATAGCCTTGTAATTTTGAACCAATCCAGAAGACAAGGGAACTGCTGGATCAAGCATTTGGAGAAATTTTACCTTCGTGGAGGACTTTTTGATGGAACTAACCTACATTTGCGTTACATGGAGAGGAAGACCACGAGAACCTCCCATAGTTAGCCAGCCTGACGACAAGGGATGTCCAACCCATGATCTGTCTACCACTGAGGATATTTCTCGTCAGTATTTGTCTTGCGAAAATAGAGTTGAAAAAAAAAATTTTTTCTTTCTAAAATTACCAATTTAACTTTATTTTCACGAATGCCAAAATTTCAGAAAGGACGAAGCATATTTTTCGCCAGCTTACTTTAATTTCAGAGGATAGTAAAGTTTTATCACTTCTAAGTGGAAATTTTTTTTCTCTATTAAGCTAAATATTCGCGAGGCTGGTATGTGAAGCGTGGCACAGTAGGTAGCGCTATGGGCAAGGTTGATATGTAGTCCCGGAGGTCCTGGCTTCGAAACCCTGCGAGGGACAACTTTAAATTTTTTTAATTTATTTTATATTATGTTTTTCAATATACTTTTCAACACTTTAACGTGAATGAAGTGTTCTGTGTATAGAAATAACTATTTTTCCTTCTTGAAATAGCGAATAATAGCTAATGAACTGATAAATTTTGATCATTTTTTTTTATTTATTTATTTTATTTCATATTATTTTTTTAACTTCTTTCTCAATATTTTTAAGTGAATAAAGTGTTCAATATATGAAAAGAAATATTTTTCTTTGTTAAAGAGCGAATAATGGCAGAAAAGGGGACAAAAGTCGTATCAGGAGGCACGCCCACATCACACCCCGTTATTCCCTATAATATTAACCTATAAATTTCAAACTCTTCCCGAAATTAGAGTCTAATGTAACAAAAAATTGCACCAAAGGAATTTTTTATAGACGTATTAGTGGGCCCACAATGGGCCCAAATAAGTTTTGTTGATTAACCGGGAGAAGGTGCTTTAAGGTAAATGTTCGCGGGGCTGTTATGTGAAGCGTGGCGCAGTTGGTAGCGCAGTGGGCAAGGTTGATATGTAGTCTCGGAAGTCCTGGGTTCGAAACCCTGCAAGGGTCGACTTTAAATTTTTTTTATTTATTTTATATTATGTTTTTTAATATACTTCTCGACAATTTAACGTGAATGAAGTGTTCTGTATATAGAAATAATTATTTTTCGTTCATGAAATAGCGAATAATAGCTAATAAACTGATAAATTTTCATTATTTCTTTTTTATTTATTTATTTTATTTCATGTTATTTTTTAAACTTCATTCTCAATATTTTTAAGTGAATGAAGTGTTCCATATATGAAAAGAAATATTTTTCTTTGTTAAAGAGCGAATAATGGCAGAAAAAGGGACAAAAGTCGTATTAGGAGGCACGCCCTCATCACACCCCGTTACTCCCTATAATATTAACCTATAAATTTCAAAATCAGATCGAAATTACAGTTTATTGTAACAAACAATTGCACCTAAGGAATTTCTTACAGACCGATTAGTGGGCCCACATTTGGGCCAAAATAAGTTTTGTTGATTAACCGGGAGAAGGTGCTTTAAGCTAAATATTCGCGGTGCTGGTATGCGAAGCGTGGTGCAGTTGGTAGCGCTGTGGGAAAGGTTACTATATACTCCCGGAACTCCTGGGTTCGAAACCCTGCAAGGGTCGACTTTGAATTTCTTTTATTTACCTTATATTATGTTTTTTAATATACTTTTCAGCAGTTTTACGTGAATCAAGTGTTCTGTATATAGAAATAACTATTTTTCTTTTCTGAAACAACGAATAATAGCTAATGAACAGTTAAAGTTTAAATAATTTTTATTTATTTTATTTTATGTTATTTTTTTAACTTCTTTTTCAATATTTTTCAGTGAACAAAGTGTTCTATATATGAGAAGAATTCTTTTTCTTTGGTAAAGAGCGAATAATGGCTGAAAAGGGACAAAAGTCGTATCAGGAGACACACACACATCACACCCCGTTATTCCCTATAATATTAACTTATAAATTTCAAACTCGCAACGAAATTAGAGTCTAATGTAACAAACAATTATACCAAAGGAATTTCTTATAGACCATTTAGTGAGCCCACAATAGGCCAAAATGTATTTTGTTGACTAACCGGAAGGAAGTGCTTTGAGCTAAATATACGCGGGGCTGGAATGTGAAGCTTTGCGCAGTTGGTAGCGCTGTGGGCAAGGTTGATATGTATTCCCGGAAGTCCTGGGTACGAAACCCTGCAAGGGTCGACTTAGATATTTTTTTATTTATTTTTATATTATGATTTTTAATATACTTTTCGACAATTTAATTTCAGAAATAAAAAAAAAAAAAACTAGAATTTAAATTAAATTGCTTGTTAATGTTTAACCGCAATGCTTAGATACGGTGGGGATGTCAGAAAATAATATACTTAAAGATGTTAGCGCCATGTTTTGCGCGTAAAACTGGTCTGTCTATAGCGAGTTGCTTTTCAAAATTCCCCGTGAAAAGTGAAATTTACTTATGATTTGGATTTTCTTGTACGATGTTTTTATTACTAGTACTATTTTGCATAGCTTTACCAATTAAGCTTCCGTGTTTAAGCTATGTAATCAAGCCCGGATTTTTTGTACGCTGGGCCATAAGTCATTCAAAATTTCATACCTTTTCATTTCATTCATTTCAGGACTGATAGTTAAGACACGGTTCCCAGCAGATCACCGAAGCCAAGCATCACTGGCTACGGTCAGTGTGCGGGTGGGTGACCACTTGGATCAGTCTGCGTTGGGACCGAGGGTTTGCGGTATTGATCCTCGTTAAACTGTGCTACCGTAAAGTGCTCGACTTCNTTACTTTATTTTGTTAAATTAGAACTAAAAATAATCTTTAAATTTAAAAAAAAATTGAGTATATATTTGAAATTGATCTTTTTTGCATTGTTTTTCTTCATTTTTTAAAATTTATTTTCGAAAAATCCATTTTAAGGGGCTCCTTAATCATTGGTCGTCATTGATTGTTTACTTACGATCAATGCCAGTGCCTCAGGGTCATTAAACTCACGTTCCAAATTGTTTTTAGCTTACAGGGTCAAATGTTTTGCTGTCCTTTTCTATCTGACGAAGGCTTATAAGCCTATTTTGAGCACACAAGCCTGAAAATAACCAGCCAAATGTTTAATTTTCATAGAACTATATTTTGATTCATACCATAGAACTACATTTGATTCATACCACAGGGGTAATTAGGGTGAAAAAGATGAAAATAGAATTACAAAAATGCAATATGCAAAAGCGCTTTTTACATGAGTAAAAAAAATACCTAAACTTTAGACAAGAAAAAGTGTATGTAGGTAGGATTTATCGACGGAATGTTAACTATGTTTTAGTTTAAAAAAAAAAAACTTTTTATGCAAGATTTTATTTGTTTATTTAATCTGTATGAATTTAAATGTCTGTAACTTTTTTATTTCATCCGAATGTGAAACTACAATTATTTTGAAATTGCGTAATTACCAATCTCTCTGTTTGATTTTAAACTCAATGTTTGATTTTAAAATCAAATGAATACAAATCTCAATGTTTCATTCTAAAATCACGTGAATAGAATTTCCAGTGTATAATTTTTGACTCACTTGATAATTATAATTGCGTAATCCATAAAATTGCGTGAATAAGAAACATAATATATGATGTGAAAATACAAATTATTATGCAAGATCTTAAGTAGCGTAAATAAAAATCTGGATGTCGAATTTTTAATTGTGAATGTAATCATGTTTGTATTGGTTTGAATAAGCGTAAAAAGAAAATTTTTTTCCCCTCAGCAATTCGAAAAAATACAAACTTTCTTTGAAGAAGAAAAATTTATAGTAATAGTAAAAGATTTTCTAGGATGGTGACAAATTTTCCACTAACTAGTCATGTGCTAGTTTGTGTACATTAAACGGTCTACCTAGGCATACAGATATTGAAGTCCTGTTGGATTCATTTCACTTTGAACTTACAGTAACAGTTGCAATAATTTTTTCTTGTACCTTTTTGTTAAAACTGTAATAGTAATTATTCAAAGCTGTTAAATCAAAAATTCCCCATCTTCTATGTCATAGATATGCATCCTTCTGACAAAGGAATCAAAAATTAAAACAATATAACCTGTTTGATTGCCTTAAGTAACATTGAAGAGTTTATCTCTAATTATTACAACATATTTTTATTTTATGTTTCTTATTGGAGTTTTTATAATTTTCAGTCCTGCTTTCCTGAGTAGTGAATCCTGAAATTTTGATAGCTTATGCATTTTTCTCACTAAAATATTATAATATCTTCTTTTTTGAAAAGGATTAAAAAAATATTCATTAAAAAAGGCCAGTAACACCTTTCATATGTCTATGTATTTTCCTATTCTTATCATTTACTAAATAAATGAAGTTTTCAAAATATTTTTTTGCTCCTGTGTATTTTCCATTAGTTTTTTTACTTACCATAGAATGACAATCTATTCCAGCCATTGGAGTAGTTTAATCTATTTCTGGAAATTAAAATTGCAACACTTCAGATGTTTTTTGTTGTTGTTTTTTTTCTTCTTTTTTTAAAATAATAACAGCTGTGCAAATGGTTTCCTGAAGTTTATCTTTATGAAAAACGGTAGTTTCGCAAAATGCTTTTAAAAAAGCAAGCTCGCATTCAAACCCCATTCTCGTTGCTATCTATGGAAAAGATCTTCTCCGTCTGCTGTCTTTTACAAAAAGGTAGCACGTGTTTGGTCGGATAGTGCAATATGGTAAGCCTAACAGGTCGCTTACGGCATAAAGCGAGCTTTTTTAAACTAAAATGATGAGGCTCTCCCTCTATAAGCTGTACAGGAAGTCAAAATTCAAACATTATCTTAAACACAACACTATTATACATTTATTCTAACACACCTGTATTTTTTATGAAACATTTTTTATCTGTGGAATTTTTCTTTTGTATGATCCAGTCGAAAATGTTCTCAAAATGAAAATCTCTCTTAGTGCTAGCACCGTTAAATACATGTTGTTATTAAATAAAGTTGAAATCTAACTATGGACAATGATTTTTATGGAATTTTTAAATTTGGATGCAATTTTAAAGCCAAAATTTTGCAATAGAAAAATTATTTTTGAATATATGAGGAAAAATATATAGAAATTTACCAGTCATAAGTGATTTTTATTTGTAGTGACAATTTTTTTAAATATTTTCATACTTTATCATATTTTTGTGTTGATTTTTTAATATAATTTTTAATTTTAACAAATTATGTCTAAATTTTCACAAAATAGGTACCTTCCAAAAACCCTAGACAGACCCCTGAGCTGAAATGGATTTTTAACGTGTGCATTTTACCCTAGAACGTAAAACTGTCAGACCATATGTTAATAGTTTTATTTTAACCTGCAAATTAGTAAAAAAAATTTTTTTAAAAGTAGTTAAGTGATTTTTTATTGTATATTGGTTAATTGCAAGATCTTTACATCTTCGCCTGAATTTTATTAAGTGTAACTCAATCTATTCAGAATCTGAACATTTTATTTCAAAAACCACAAAAAATAAAACTGAAATAATTAAAATTTGCATAGAAAAAATAAATTAAAATTAATATATCTTTCCTAACAAAATAAAAACTAATAAATAAAAATAAACAATCCATAGTTTTAAATGCTCTCCCTCATTAGTTCTTCAAAAGGCAATGAGAAAGAAGAAAAAATGCTTCCAAAAAGTAGTGACAATAGATTCAAGAATTTCAAATAGAAGAATAGGTATTTAACAAATAGTAACTTACCGTGAAAAATCATAAAGGGAGAAAAAAAAATCTTTTATTATTATTTAAGGAAGCTCGGGAGCCATAGGTACAGCCCTGTATAGAGTTGCTCTTAATTTAAGATTTGGTATTTTTCTTCATATAATTAAAGTTAAACGATGTTATTTTATAAAATGCTATATTTGCATTTTAAAATTGGAAAATAGTCTGTATGTTCAGCACATAACTGGTTTTGTTGCGATAATTAACATAAATATTTTATTTTTTAGAACCTGTTACTGAAGCTCTTTGTTTAATTGTGTTTAAAATTTCTGTCAGAGAGAGAAGATGCATCAGAAGAAGGCACAAGAAGTATATTACTCTCTATTTTCTGATGTGCATTTTTTATCCGGTTATAAATTCATGTTTTAAAGTTAATATTTTTAACCGCTTCCCTGATTTTCCCGAGTAAACTCAGGCATAGCAGAATTCGTCAATACGTTTTATTTTATCACATTTTTATTTAGCCGGAAGTAAAACAAGAAATAATTATAATCTGCTGTGATTGGAAGTTTGCCAATTTCTGTTTGGGTGTTTTGCTATGTGCGGGACTGCAGACGTGTTTTGCATTATTGTATATTTGATGGTTGATGAATTTACATAGAAAAAAAAAGGAGTTAAAAAATGGCATTCGCGAGTGAAAGTGAAAGTAATGCAGATGATTTTTCAGGTAATGAAGATGTGAACATATACAAAGACTAATATTTAATTTTTTTCATTTGCCCGAGATAATTTGGGATTGTAAACTGTTGTTGTTGTTAATTTACGTCGCACTAGAGCTGCACAATGGGCTATTGGCGACGGTCTGGGAAATATCCCGGTGGATGATCCGAAGACATGCCATCACAATTTTGATATACTGCGGAGGGGATGGCACCCCCGCTTCGGTTGCCCGACGACCTGCGCGTGAAGTCGAGCACTTTACGGTAGCACAGTTTAACGAGGACCAATACCGCACACCCTCGGTCCCTACGCAGACTGATCCAAGTGGTCACCCACCCGCACACTGACCGTAGTCAGTGATGCTTGACTTCGGTGATCTGCTGGGAACCGTGTCTTAACGATCAGTCCACTGCGGGCACTGCAACTGATGGTAAACTAAATATTTTTTATGCATGCAAAAATTTAAATTTCAACTTAGAACTTGTGTATTATGTTTTATTTTAGTTCCTTGTATTTATTAATAAAATAAAAAAATATGTTGATTTTTTGAAGAAAAAAAATTTTCTTCAAAAAATTTATCTCAAAAAATATCCATTTCCTCTCTCAGTTGCTTCTCAGTCTCGATCGCGCGCAATGTATACACTTGACTACTAAAGGCAACACAGGAGCGACTTATCAGTTCTCAAAAGTACGGTGATCTTAATGCAGCTCTCCCGTCTTCTCACAGATCAGCAATGAGTAGTATCCGTTCATTGAATTCTATCTCAGATAAAATTCTGGTGGGAGAGTACTGTAGTGTATCTACTGCTACAAAAAATACAATTCCAATTCACTAGTATGCGAGACATGTTAACTCTATTGTATGTTGGAGTACCTTTTCATAGATGAAGGTCGACTTTGTCGATTACTCACTAAGGCGGAAGTTGATTGTTTATATTTTAGAGGGCTTTTTGATTTAATAATTATAATGCATTTAAACATGCCTTCAAAACAAAATGCAGGAGGTGACTTCTGCCAGTTAGGGGGTTGTGGATCACTGCTCTAGATAACTGAAGTTTCTTTAGTTAGACAGACAATAATAATTTAAGTAGAATGTAAATAAGCTTGTGACAAATTCAGTAAAAAAATTTAGGTCTTGTGGGTTTTGACCTTTTTCCCTATACCCTATATTTTAGGTTCAGAATTTGGTTGAAAATAGAGATGAGAAGAGATTTGAAAATAGTTTTAAGGCTTGCAGCTCTGCTGTTCTCTCTTCACAAATAAAAAAAATTATTCCATCTAAAGTATATGAAAATCGTAAAAGCTCTATTGCAGCTGGCTTGGAAAAAGTTAATGTAGCTCTTGAACAAAAAAATTCAAAGATTATTGAATATTTGTCTAAGGAAAAGTCTATTCTTGAACCAGAAGTAAGTTGAAGCAATTTTTACTTTAGTTTCTTCAGTCAAATGCCTTATTAGCATGGTTTGAATGACTCCTTTTGTCGTCTGAATTTTTTTCAGAATTTGGAAAAAATTTCTATTTGATCCAAAAGTAATTCTTTTGAAACTTTATTTTTCATATTGTCATTCATGTTAATTTTTCCTTACAGATTTTCAGGTCTTAATATGTTACATTAAATGGGTTACAAATATTCAACCAAAAAATATTATAATTAAAGGGAGAATTTTAGATATGCTTTTTAAATAGTTCTGAACGGTCGAGTTAAGCACAAAACTGTTTATGGCTCCTAAATAAACATAACTTTTTAATTCATTATTTATTATTAACTCCATAATATAGAAAATGACCCTTAATAGTTTAGTAACAAAACTCGTTGAAAATGTGTCAGTTTTTGTAATTTATTATGTGAATAAAAAAAATTTCACTCAGTAATAAAACATGCATGATAATTATTATTAATCAAATAATTATAAAGGAACAAATTTTATCATTTTAATGTTTGTAAAAAAGTGACAATAAGTTATGATTGTGTTTGCATCTTCTTAAACCAGGAATGGCCAACTGTGAGTGCTTGAGGTGCAAATTTTGTTGTAAATAAACCTATAAATTTGGTTATGCTACTTCACCTTTACTTAACCACATTGCATGAAATGTAAAAATATATTTGTGTGCAATAAATGTAAATGTGTAAAAATTAGTGAAAATATTTTTTGCCAAAATAATTTGCCTCATCATGCGTGCAGCTTCTATTAGTAGTTTTTAAAACTTTCAATTTCATGTCCAATCAGTATCTGGATTAAATTACAACAAAAGACGTATTAAAATGAAGAAACAAATGAATACATACACAGTTACACTCATGTTTTTATAATTTAAACAGCAATTTTTCAAATGATATGATGAAGAAATTGCGAAAAATGTAAAGTAGATAAATATGAAATTTGTAATTTTTTTTTTAACCAATGAAAGTTGAAGAATATTTGTTTCTCAGAAAGTTCATGAACAAAAATTAAAAACAGCCATACAAATCATTGAAAACAGTTATTTCATGATACCTTCCATATTGTTTCTTATTTAATCATATATTTTTTTTCTCCATATGTTCTCTATCTGCATCCACTATTCTTAATTGTATTGTGCATTCATTTTTTAGGCATATAATGTTCTTGTACCGGAAACTGTTGAAGAAGCTGTTGATCCAAACATAATTAAGATACTTCCTGTGCCTTTACCAGAGAAAAAAATATTTAAGTATTGCTTTTTTTTCTTTCAAAATCTTTTGATTATTTATATACAGTCAAACGCTATAGTGAGCCTTCAAGGGACCCGTTCACTATAACAGGGACTTCACTATATCTGTTTCGCAAACAATTTTAACTAATAGTTCCTAACTCCCCCCCCTCACATTATTTAAATCAATGACCAATAAAATGAAATACATAAGGTACATAATACGTAGTAACAGAAAATGTATTAAACTTTTTTTTCTTCTTCGTCTTGCTTACAAAAAAAATTAGTAATCTTTAGCCAGAGCTCATTCTAGGCAGGGTAAACAGGGTGCAGCACCCTGTTGCCCTTTTAGTAAAAAGAATCCACCCTGTTGCCCCTGAAGTAAATTAGTGCCCTGATGTAATAGACTCCATACCCTTTTTGCCCTTTCTTTCCTCAACCCTTCTTTATTTTCCCCTCTAACTCTACAATTGATTTCTTAAACTTTTGTTATTTTCAACTCTTTTTATTTGGTTTGTTGTTGCTGTCAATACATAGATTTATTTGGGAAAGGAAAAATAGCAATCACATCCCCTTGTTGCACTTGTCTTTGAAAGTTGCAGTTACTTCCACTATCATTAAATCATAATTATTATTAATCATTTTAATTATTAAATCATAACTACAGACACTTGAAAACATACATTTATTATTTTATTAATATATGCATGCATTTTAAATAAATTACTAAGCTAATTAGCTCATTAACTCAATATATATGTTAATTTATTAATAAAAATTAGTAATTAATATGATTGCTTTGCTACTTTTAGTAAATAAAAAAAAAAATTTCTTTTACTAATTTACAATGCTTTTTAATAGAGTGTGTAAAGCCCATAGAAAGAAATTTTTGCCTTTTTAGAATAATAATGCCCCTTTTTTTCTGCCTAGAATGAGCTTTGCTTTAGCTTATGAGCAATCCTCCACATCAGATATGGAAACGTTTCCTGACTCCTATAATTTTTCCTGAATCTATATTATTCCACTTTTTAAACCTGTCTACCCAAGCATTCGAGTGCATGAAAGTAGTCGCACCAAATAGCTCAGCAAATTCATCTGCTTTGACTTGAAGCATTTGCCCAGATACTAGAAGAATGTGGCTTTTTTGAACGCCGAACCAATTGAATAATGCTGTTCAATAATGAAGCAAACAAGAAAAAATGCTTATTGCTACATTCCATGCTATAGATGGCTTTAAAAATAGGTATATCTATTTAGTTATGAAGTAGAAATTTCTAAATTATTACTTAAAAAATGAAGAAAATAACTCAGTCGAAGACAGAAAAAAGTGCATAATATTCAACTTCCTCTCTTTTTTTTTTTTTTTGTTCACTATATCCACAAAAAATAACACTATATGTGTGCAGCAAGGCACGGGAGCAAACATTTCGTTCACTATATCTGGGAATTCACTATAAACCGTGTTCACTGTATTGACAGTATTAGCAATAACTGCAAAAAGAAATGGTTTCATTTTATTAATTTTGACATCTCTGTTTCAGTGGTGCAAACTATTATGATTTATCTGTAAATATTAGATTTTTATAGTCAGGATTATTCTTGTTGTGTTTTAAAAATTTCTGTAATAGTTTGTTTAAAATAATTGTTTCCCTCTTAAATAAGAGCTATAAAATTTTGTTGTTTGCAATTAACCTACAATACTTTGTCTACTCTTTAAGCAATTCTAAAACAATAAATAAAAAACAAAAATGATTTGATAAAAACAAGAAATAAAGAAAAAGCAAAGAAATCTCATCATTCCAAGATGCTCTTCTAAAACTTATTCTTCTCATATAGTAAATGAGAACATAGTTTCCAAGTAATCAATTTAATTTTATTACAATTGAAGTATAAAAATTCTGTGTTGTATAAATTTCCATTTAGTACCGTTACCTAAGTGTTGCTCTTTTTTTTTATTTAATAATAAATTTATACATAATTTTATTAATATACATGTATAGAATTAATGTATATATATCTTAAATTGCCTTACGAGAATTTTGTAAACGCTAACTATATATATTTTTGTGTTATTGTACTTCTGATTATTGTTTGCTAGTTTTGAATTGTGGCACATTAGTTGTTTAAAAAAAGGTTACATACTGCAATGGTCCAAACCAGAAGACAAATGATTTCAAACCAGAGTTGGCAAGGTTTAGGACAGAATGGATTAATCCACGGTTTGAACCATCCTGTCCAAAACTGTTTAAAACCTTTTTACTCAAATTATATCACAATTTTAAAAAAAAAAATACTGTAAAAAATAATAGGTTAATTTTTGAACAAGTAGCAAAATGAAGACAAGTTTTTAATTTTTTTTATTGTAAAATATTATTTTTAATATTGCATTATTTATCAATATACAAAAACATAATTTATCAGTATTAAAAGCATATTTATTCATATTTAAGGGATAAGATATTTACTTTTGTTGTTTAATGAATTATGGAGCTTCAAAAGTTATGAATCTTTTCCTATTATATTAATTTCCTTTAACAAGTTAAAGCAAAGTGTATAAAAAGTATCAAATATTTATTAATGTATGTAATTATTATGTGTACATTGGTTACACATATAGAATTTTTACTGTTGGACACTTTCAAGCAGTTTAGGACTGTTTTAATCAGTTTAGGACAGTAAAACCCAAATATCCTGTCTAAAACCAGTTTAGAGTGTCCAAAACCCCTACCCTGTTTCAAACCTAGTAGCCACCCAAAAAGTGTGGCTCTTCTTCAAGCAACCAGCTATGTTTTTCTGGGTTTTTAGGCAATTCTTTGGAACTAAATTAAGTTGGCAAATATATCATAGCTGCCAAATGCTCGGAATTTTTCAGATTTGTTCCTAATTTTTAAATCAAATCTGACATTTTTATGAAAATTCAAATTTTTGTAAAATAGCTGTAGTTTTGCTTTTAAACTAATCCCTTGTGTTCTGATCGCTGCAAGCGCGTTTCTGTGATTATTTTGCAGAAGTAATTTTTAGTAGCTTTTTATTGGAAAATACTATTTCAATAGCTGTTGCTGATCATTTCACTAGATTGAATCTTAAACAACTAATATAATTTTTTTAAAAATGTATTATAGTATTGAAACACTTGCATCAGAAATATTTGTTTATGATGTAGATTATTATTTACCTGTGTTTTGCAATTTGGAGAATAATAATTATATATTAATAGGTAATGGTTGTTTTTAAACTATTATACTGGTATTCCTAATTATAAAATAATAATATTATAAATTTCCCACAAAAGATAGTTTTGTTTTACTAATTTACATATAAGGTATTTAAATACATGTCTGTTAATGTTATTATTTAATAGTTAAATTTTTGTAATTTCTCGTAACTAGTGCAAATAATTTTGTCGCATATAGTGTTCCTAATTTCTCATTCCGAAGGTTGGCAGCTATGCTAATTATGACATTTCACTTTTTAGCAAACAATAAGAAATGCGTTAAAACTAGTTCTAACAATATACCTATTCATTATTTTTCGGCTATACTATAACAAAAGGACATAATATTTTATTCTTCTTCTTTAGAGACACATTAACTCTTCCTCCCTCAAAAGTTCCATGGAAGGAAAGGGTATGAATTAAAATAATGTTTTCTTCATTTTTTCTTATAAGCATGAACAAAATAATATTTATTTTTTTATACTTATGCTCATTGAAATTTTATCTGGACTGTATTGTACTGAATTTTTTGTAAATTCTATATAGTTTTTTTTTCTATGACGTTGTTATGTGTCTTTAGTATAACTAGAAGTGATCTGAGATTTGCATATGGATCTCATGTTAAATAATGTCGTTAATGGTGATGTGTCATGAAAAATCATGGAAAGTCATAAATTTCAGTATTGAACAAAATTTGTCATGATTTTTACTATTTTTTAAAAAAAAATCATGGAAAGTCATGGATTTAGGTCTCCGCAAAATCTAATTTTTAAAATGGAATCCCCCCCCCCCATTTTATCCTGTTCCAAATATCTGAATTCCTAACAAAATCACCACTCAGTCATATTTTATTAGAATATAAAATGATTTTATCATGTTCTGTAAAAATTATGGTGTTCTTTCAAGAAATGAAAGAAAAAACATCATTTCTGGAGCAAATTATCTTTTAAACTTCTATGATTTAAAAATTTTTTATTATTATTTTTTTAAAAATTTTATCAATTTAAAATTCTAGTTGAAGCAAACCAGTAATTGGCGAGTTTTTTTTATTCCGAAATGAGAACAGAAAAATCAGGAGTATTTCTTTCCTTTCTGATGAACAAGAAAAGTATCTTTAGAATATAATTCTGCAGAAAATTTTTTTTTGCTTTCGTATTTTTTTCAGCAATTTTATTGTTTTAACTCTTTCTTTACTCTGTTTTAATTTAAAATCTATAAATATGAAGTTGCAGAGTATAACAGTTTTGGTCATGCCTATAATTTCAATTAATGTTACTATAATGCTTTTTTAAATTTATTGTTGCGTTTTTGTTGGAAAAAATAGTAATTTCGTTAAGTCATGAAAAATTCTTGGAATTAGGTCATGGAAAATCATGAAAAGTCATGAATTTGAAAATCTAAAATGTAGCAGATGCCCTGTATATACTGTAATGCTGTTTTATTTCCTTCTTAAAAAATCTGTAATAAAATACTTTCAAAATGAATTAACTGAACATTTCTTTACTTCTTACCTTCTCACAGTCTAAATCAGTGGTTCCTGAACTTTTTTGTCTCGTAGACCCCTTGCCATGTTTTTCGGTCTTGGGTAGACCCCTTGCTTACCTGATATTGATTTTTTGTAAATTCATCAATTCAAATCTATTTTTGACAGCAGGTATAGTTGTACTCACTTTGAAAGTTTTAAATTTCTAACTGTAATGAAGTGTAGTGTGAAAAACTTAAGAAAAAAACACATATTAACTTTAAACATTTATTAATTAAATTCAAATTAAAATGAACCAAATTAAAATTTAGTACCTGTTATATAAAATAACTAAGCAATAAATATATGTTTTTAGTGGGAGGGATGAACCTGATGCTTTAATAAATTATCAACATTTGGCATCAATTTAGTTAGGTTTAATCTCAAATCTCCTCGGTTAATGATGTCCAGTCTGTTTCTTTCTTCTTTTTTTTAGGAGATTGGCAACTGTGCTGAAACCCCTTTTCCGCTAGGTATGAAGATGGAAAAGCAATTAAAAACTTTTTCGCGATATTCCATAATTTTTACTTCTAAGCTACTTTTATAAATTATTAGAATGTAGATAGATATATATCATTATATTATAAGGTAGTACAATGTAAGTAAATATGTATTATCAGTGTATGTTGATTATTCTATGCTACTTCATAGCTACTTTTATAAATTTTGTAGATAGATATATGTCTTTATATTATTAGGTAGTATAATGTAAGTAAATCGGTACTATCAGTGTGTGTTGATTATTCCATTCATGAAATGCCAAAATTAAAGTCACGGACTACTTATATGAGATCCACTATCATTGACCCCCATTTTCATTTCATGGACCCCCAATTATTATTATTTTTTTCGCTTGACATGGATCCCTTCCAAGTTGTCGTCAACCCCTAGGGGTCGATATAGACAACTTTAGGAATCACTGTCTAAATTATCAGTTAGTAAAGTGCGTTAAAAATTCCTAACCCCTTATTTTATATAAATTGCCACAAAGCATCTATTTGGAGCAGGAAATGGCCCCTATTCAAATAACCATTTATTTTATTCTTTTCTTCTTAACAGAAATTTCATTTCAGCTGTGAAACGTAAATTTTTTTCCCCCTCTCTCTCCTTTATGCAACTAAGACAACCAGTGTTAATTGTTTAAACCCGGAAATTTAACTTAGTTTCACACATATAAAGCAGTTTTGTTCTATTATATTTTATATTATAAGTGATTACCTGACATGCAATTAAATGGGGATTTTTGCCTGTTGTAGGCCTTTATGCAAGCAAGAAGATTAACAATGTATATGTATTGCCTTCATTAGAATGAAATTGTACTTTTTTTTCCGATCAAAATCTTGTTAAATGACCATTCTTTTTTTGTTCAACCTAATATTCTTTCTCTCCAATAGTTCATGCAAGGTATCAAATACAACTACAGTGACATTTCTTACCATTTTAAAGTGTGGAATGATTCTTTAAAAGAGATAGAAGGTGATTTAAATTCAATTGTTCCATTATGAAACTGCTTAAATGCTTTTATTGAAATATACTCTGGTGTTAATTAGCGAATTTACATTTTCCAATGCTTTTTGCAAGCAATAAATTTTTGCACTTCTGATATTACCTTTTAAAAACCATGTGTTTTCCAGTTTTTAAAAGTACAAATAAAAAATAAAGTGTATAATATTTTTTATGTATATTTTTGTATCTTTAAAAGTAACTCATGTTTAATATACTTTTCAACGCAAAATGGCCTTTTTTTGTTTTTGCATATTTAAAAAATAAGTGGTTTTTAGTCATAATATTTCAAGATTTTTTTTATAGCACAATAACAAAGTTCCCAAAATATTTTTAAAAAATTTATTTAGTCTTTTTTTTTTTTCCAAAAAATTTCATAAAATATCTGTGACATGGCTTGGCATCAACGATTTATTTTTTATTTTGGTTCACATCAAATTAAATGTTTCATAGACATGACAGAAAACATGTTTGAACCAAATTTTATTTACTAAACTAAGAATTTACCTTATTTTTTTAAACGCAAAGTATAATCATTACAGAGCAAAGTCTGTGACTTAGGAGACGGGTAAATTACAGTTGAAACTCTTCATATTCAAATGTATACGCAATAAAAGGATCTTTACAAATTGAAATCCCTGCATTGTAAATTTATTACCCCTATTATAAATACAGTAGAGAACCGATTATCCGGAACGATCGGGACCATCGCTATTCCGGATAACCGATTTTTCCAGTTTTCTGATTCTTTACAAAAAAACTTTTTTTTTATTGTTTATTAAACCTAACTTAAAAAAATATATTTAGAAATAGTTTTAAAAAGAAGAAAAAACGATAAAGTCTGAAAAATAAAATTATTACTGAATAATAAGTGGACTGGATACACTTGAATAAAAAAATCATCTGCTCAACATCAACTTCGGAATTAATTTAAAAACACTACTTAAGTAAGAATTAGGAGGATTGAACTGTCTCTCTCTCCCTTTTTTTTTAAAATTATTTCTATTCTTTTTATAAATAATCATTATTTTTGTCTTCTGTTTTTTATTGTAAAAATAAAGAAGGCGTGATTTAGAAAAAGAATCCGCAAATAGTAAGCCACACTACAAAACAAGCTTATTAAAAACTGTATAAAATAAGCATTTAGAAAATTAAAACATCTTTCTAAAGGTTCAATAAACAAAATTTAAAAATCTGTGTTACTTATTTGACAAATCTAAAGCAATGAAATTATGTGCAAATGATTGGGAATGTCATTTATTTATAAATAGATCTTTTTTTTCTTCTTTTTAATCAAATCCTTTAATATGGCTAGGACTGAGCTAGAAATCGATGCATGGCAAAATATGCTATGCATAGTTTCTTTATGCGCTATTTTTGTCTTTGGGAGTTTACTTTTCTTGAAAATAATTTTCAGCTGGACATGCGTAATTTTGTCAACGTTCTGCACTTTATTTCATCGGGATGTAACGTTTCTTGTAAATTATTTTCAGTGAGACTTTTGCTACTTGGCGATAATTTATTTCATTGTGCAGTATTTCGTCGCTTTTTTTTTGTTTTTTGTCTGTCGGGATTTAACGATTCTTGTCAATTATTTTTAGTAGACCTATTGTTACTTGGCGATCGTTGTGCAATCTCTGTTATCTTAAATTTTCATTCTGAACTCAATCTATTAATGAAAAGAAACTATGAATAATTGTTTTTCCTTTTAAGAGATACAATTTAATAGGGGTACTTTGTATTTAACTTTGCTAAAAAAAGTTAATTTTTAAAAAAATTTATTTAATGCACGTAAATATACTAATTTGATAGAATTTGATTATTTTTAAACAAATAAATCTTCAGTCTTTTTTAATTATAAAAAAATTTGGCTATTAGTTAAAACAAATATTTTTTTAATTGAATAAAAAGTTAAGCAATGTTTTGACGCTTTTTAATAATTTTTTTTTTCATTTTTTAATGCAGGTATGTAAAATATTTTGTTAGTTTTATTATTATTTTTAAACCAATAAATCTTAAGTCCGTTTCAATTTTGAAAGAAAAAATTAAAATAAAGCTTGGGTTTATTTTTGCTTAAGGCATTTTATTTTGTAATAAATTTATTCCTTTTATTTATTTTTGATTAATTTAAAGATTTTTGATCGATAATTTTTGAACATATAGTAAATCGCGATACATCGCAATGTCTAACAGACGATGTATCAAGATATAAAATTTCTTACATTGCCCAGTCTTAAACGTGGCATTACAGGTGATTTTTTTTTTGGGGGGGGGCGAGGGTATTCCAGGTAGCCAGCTCTCTTCATGTTAGCATTGATCAACACTAATAAGCGTCGTGTGCGTCTCGCGATTTCTGAGAATACCAATAATTCTCTCTATTTCACTCATAAAAAAAAATTCCGTCATCAGAATGATACATTTTTTGTTTCTTAACTTGTTTTCGATGTCAGAATTTTATTTTAATTTTAGACTTTTTTAAGGGAAGATTATTAATGATTTTTTTTTTATCTGAAATATTGTGTTAGGGAGTACTTTAAGAGATTTCTAGGAATCAAAGATGACAAATAAAATAATTTGTTTTAACTCTCCTGCATGAAGCAAGGAACAGATGCCAGGACTCCTATTGTGAGAAGCCCCTAGTTATGACTCTGCTTGCTTAAGGCTGAGCTGATAAGAAAACAGGTGTTTAATGAGTCACCCTTTCTCACTTGAGCTGTGATTGAAAAGAAGCAACTAAGTAGGGAGTGAGGAAGGGAATGATTGATGATATTTAGTACAATACTCTTCCTTCTCCTGACAATGTAGAGGGAACTAATGATTATTTCAAAAGTGGGTGGTAAAGTAAACATCCTTAAAAAAAAAAAAGTTTTTTTTTTTTTTTTTAGAAATTAGAAAGGGGGGTAAAATATATGGAATTTCGTTCCGGTTTTCTGGTTTCCGGATAAGAGGTTCTGTACTGTATATAGAACCTATTGCGACCGCGTAAAGGAAAGAAAAAAAGCTGTTGACTTGTTATTTTTTTGTAACAAAAATAGTAATTAAAAAAAAATTCTAATTGATTTATACAAATGGATGATGTAACATTACTAATCTATTTGGATTCATTAACCAAGGAGCTGAAACAAAACATAATACACAAGTTTTAAGAAATTTAATTTTCTTTCATGTGTAAGAAACATTTAGTTTACTATCCCGAGTTATCTCGGGCGAATGAAAAAAGTTAAGTCTTTGTGTGATAGTTCTTAATACAAGAGACAACACAAAGTGATACTTTTCAAACGTCAGTGAATGCACCATTTTTTTTGTTGCTCTTATTGCTATGTAAATTCAGCAACCATCGTATATACAATCGCACAAAACAGTCCAACAGCATAACTCCCAAATAAAACTTGGCTAACTTCCAATCACAACAGATTATTTATTTTTTTTGCTTCTGACCAATTAAAATGTGATAAAACAAAATGTACTGACAATTTCTGCTGCATCAGAGTTTTCTCAGGGGTGATAAATATTTGTAATATATAGGTACCCGTGTTTACTCGGGATAATCAGGGAAACGGTTAATAAATTCTTTAAAAAAAAAACTACTTCTACTTAAAAACAAACTTCTTTAAAAAAATATTTTTTACATTACCTGAAATAAAAGGTTCATATGACAATTTATTTACATGAAATTAATTTAAGCACACTTTTCTTATTCATGGCACACCTTACATACTAAATTATGATTTAAAACCATAAATTTTTTTAGTTATTTTTCTTTTATGTTTGATTATAAATACAGTACAGAACCATTTATCTGGCATCCAGAAAACAGGGAAAAATTTTGCTCTGCTTTTCCCACCATTTTGAGCTAGAAAGATTGAGGGAAATTTGACTCATCCTTGAAATTGAGTAAAGAAAAATATGGTGCATAGCATTTTTAAAAAAATGCTTAAAGGTGCTTATTTTCAATTCTTTTTTTATTGGGTGTCTTTAAAAAGTGCTGTGGTTTTCACATTGTTCAATTCAACATTTTCACAATTCTTTCAAACACAATGCATTTTGGCGTACCGTTGGTTCATAGCATATGAAAGTCATGTACTTGTGAGTCTGCGTGTGCCTCTACTGAACTGCGTTCGGTAAGATTAAAGAGCCCCAATCATTTTACATGTTTGATGAAATACTCGAGTCTGCATGTGCGTCTAATGAGCTGGGTTAGGTGAGATTGTTGCACTCTCATGTGCAACTTTACTGCATTTTGCGAGATAATCTCAATTTCAGGCTTCATTTTCCACCCTCTGAAATTGAACAGAAAAATCTCCCCATCTTTATGTTGTGGCTCATATAATCATGTAAAGTCTTAAAATATTATTTTGCTATTTGTTATTTTATATGGTGCTTAAAAAGTACTTAAAAGGTGTTTATTTTTTGTTGAAAGGTTTAGCAATACGCCCTGTGGGGGGAGGGATATTGTCGAGAGTAAACTTCAACTTTCTTTCTTTCAGATTTTTAGGTCAAAAGGGACAGGGAAGGGACAAATATTTTCTTTTCTTCTGTGTGTCTGAAAAAAATCTGTGGTTTTCTCATAAGCTGCTGTCAATCAAACATAAAGTAGCGGCATCAGAGCCTGACTAAAACAAGGACATACAGGTCTGTTGCCCCAGGGGCCCCACATCAGAGGGAGGCCTCAAGTCGAATAGAAAGTTAATTTTACATTTCCTTCCTTAATAAGTTCAGTCGCTGCACACTCCCCTGCCAGTATCAGGGTACTGATACGTAACGATCAGGGAAGGTAACTCTACGACCTGATCTAGTCCGTTGTTCAGTCGTCTTTGATATGTCCGGAGAATCTTTTGGTAAATTCGATTCTTTTGAGGAAAAAGTTTGGATCTTGTTTGGTTCGGATTGAAATAGTTCAAATGCTGGTTGGAGACGGTCAATAGAAATAGTCCGTTCTTTCTCACCTATGATGATAGTGAAATGTTTTTCAC